TTGGTTATGAGACGTTGACTATGCATTTTCAGTAGCAAATTATTAGTTTGGAAAACAGTTTATGACGAGTGAATTAAAAATAACTATTTGTCAAAATGATACGAAACCATGAGTATCCAAGCAACAGTGTATCAAAGATGAATGATAACACTATAATATATATTCGTTAGTCAGCTCAGGCAAATGGCAATCCAGAAGCCTGGACAAATATGATTATTTAGACAAAAGTGTGGACTGTTAAAGATGGAAGTATCGAACAAGCGGAGAAAACAATGATTTCAATCAATGTTTACGGATTCCACAGCCGCTGGGTAGCAGCAGTAACTGGAAATTCAGAGAACAATAAATACTCATGTGTGTTATGAATCTGATGTTGCGAGATGTCACAAATACAATGAACATGTACATGTGATGATTGCGTGAAGAAGAGATTTAAGCGAATCTAAGCGGTATTTCTTTTCTATTTCTGTCGTGAATCTCTTCAATCAAGACACCGTGTATGTTCGAAGTTCAGTTGTATGTTGTGCGAAACTAGTGTGGAAATCGCCTCTTACTTCAACGTTTATAACAAATGTGATCGATTGAACGAAATGATACTGCGAAATCTCAGAATATGAACGCGTCAGTTGAATAACAATATCGGAAATCGGTTACTGTTCTGGACGAAGGATCACAGAAATTGAATGAGCAGATCATGAAATCGATTATTATTATTATTATTATTATTATTATTATTGCATACGCAATGAAAAAGCCGATAGTTCGGATAAGTGTATTTCACTGACAAGCACCTTTCAGTTTATCGCAATGAGCATTGACAAATTTGGCTACAGTTGAATTATTATTGATAAACCAGCAGAGATTTCACTTAGATCCAGCTGACCTGTCACAATATTCTATACTACGCATTTCGTACATTTACAATGATTTTCAGTCAGTCACTTGTAGTTTTGCAATAGAATTCATCTTAGTCATTAGGTTGGGTATAGGTTCTAATTTATTATGTGGTAATTTCCATGCTTATTCATTGAGAATCGAAAACACACTGAGTGTGAACAAAGAATGAGATGATTGAGGAATTACATAAACATCCGTTTCAACTGTACACATGATGCTCGTCCGACCGACAGAAGAAAAACTTCACAAAAATCAATTCAATAAAAAATGCATTTATAAAATTCAACGAATTAGAATTTAATTTCTTTCACTAACCTCTACTTCCGGGACCTTTGTTAGGTGAGACATTTTCATGTGTAAAATAAAAGAAAATGAGGAGATTTGAAAAAGGCGATGGGTGAAAAGCGGAAGGATGCCACTAAAGTACACTCAGCATGATTATTGGTTATGAGACGTTGACTATGCATTTTCAGTAGCAAATTATTAGTTTGGAAAACAGTTTATGACGAGTGAATTAAAAATAACTATTTGTCAAAATGATACGAAACCATGAGTATCCAAGCAACAGTGTATCAAAGATGAATGATAACACTATAATATATATTCGTTAGTCAGCTCAGGCAAATGGCAATCCAGAAGCCTGGACAAATATGATTATTTAGACAAAAGTGTGGACTGTTAAAGATGGAAGTATCGAACAAGCGGAGAAAACAATGATTTCAATCAATGTTTACGGATTCCACAGCCGCTGGGTAGCAGCAGTAACTGGAAATTCAGAGAACAATAAATACTCATGTGTGTTATGAATCTGATGTTGCGAGATGTCACAAATACAATGAACATGTACATGTGATGATTGCGTGAAGAAGAGATTTAAGCGAATCTAAGCGGTATTTCTTTTCTATTTCTGTCGTGAATCTCTTCAATCAAGACACCATGTATGTTTGAAGTTCAGTTGTATGTTGTGCGAAACTAGTGTGGAAATCGCCTCTTACTTCAACGTTTATAACAAATGTGATCGATTGAACGAAATGATACTGCGAAATCTCAGAATATGAACGCGTCAGTTGAATAACAATATCGGAAATCGGTTACTGTTCTGGACGAAGGATCACAGAAATTGAATGAGCAGATCATGAAATCGATTATTATTATTATTATTATTATTGTTATTGCATACGCAATGAAAAAGCCGATAGTTCGGATAAGTGTATTTCACTGACAAGCACCTTTCAGTTTATCGCAATGAGCATTGACAAATTTGGCTACAGTTGAATTATTATTGATAAACCAGCAGAGATTTCACTTAGATCCAGCTGACCTGTCACAATATTCTATACTACGCATTTCGTACATTTACAATGATTTTCAGTCAGTCACTTGTAATTTTGCAATAGAATTCATCTTAGTCATTAGGTTGGGTATAGGTTCTAATTTATTATGTGGTAATTTCCATGCTTATTCATTGAGAATCGAAAACACACTGAGTGTGAACAAAGAATGAGATGATTGAGGAATTACATAAACATCCGTTTCAACTGTACACATGATGCTCGTCCGACCGACAGAAGAAAAACTTCACAAAAATCAATGCAATAAAAAATGCATTTATAAAATTCAACGAATTAGAATTTAATTTCTTTCACTAACCTCTACTTGCGGAACCTTTGTTAGGTGAGACATTTTCATGTGTAAAATAAAAGAAAATGAGGAGATTTGAAAAAGGCGATGGGTGAAAAGCGGAAGGATGCCACTAAAGTACACTCAGCATGATTATTGGTTATGAGACGTTGACTATGCATTTTCAGTAGCAAATTATTAGTTTGGAAAACAGTTTATGACGAGTGAATTAAAAATAACTATTTGTCAAAATGATACGAAACCATGAGTATCCAAGCAACAGTGTATCAAAGATGAATGATAACACTATAATATATATTCGTTAGTCAGCTCAGGCAAATGGCAATCCAGAAGCCTGGACAAATATGATTATTTAGACAAAAGTGTGGACTGTTAAAGATGGAAGTATCGAACAAGCGGAGAAAACAATGATTTCAATCAATGTTTACGGATTCCACAGCCGCTGGGTAGCAGCAGTAACTGGAAATTCAGAGAACAATAAATACTCATGTGTGTTATGAATCTGATGTTGCGAGATGTCACAAATACAATGTACATGTACATGTGATGATTGCGTGAAGAAGAGATTTAAGCGAATCTAAGCGGTATTTCTTTTCTATTTCTGTCGTGAATCTCTTCAATCAAGACACCATGTGTGTTTGAAGTTCAGTTGTATGTTGTGCGAAACTAGTGTGGAAATCGCCTCTTACTTCAACGTTTATAACAAATGTGATCGATTGAACGAAATGATACTGCGAAATCTCAGAATAAGAACGCGTCAGTTGAATAACAATATCGGAAATCGGTTACTGTTCTGGACGAAGGATCACAGAAATTGAATGAGCAGATCATGAAATCGATTATTATTATTATTATTATTATTATTATTGCATACGCAATGAAAAAGCCGATAGTTCGGATAAGTGTATTTCACTGACAAGCACCTTTCAGTTTATCGCAATGAGCATTGACAAATTTGGCTACAGTTGAATTATTATTGATAAACCAGCAGAGATTTCACTTAGATCCAGCTGACCTGTCACAATATTCTATACTACGCATTTCGTACATTTACAATGATTTTCAGTCAGTCACTTGTAATTTTGCAATAGAATTTATCTTAGTCATTAGGTTGGGTATAGGTTCTAATTTATTATGTGGTAATTTCCATGCTTATTCATTGAGAATCGAAAACACACTGAGTGTGAACAAAGAATGAGATGATTGAGGAATTACATAAACATCCGTTTCAACTGTACACATGATGCTCGTCCGACCGACAGAAGGAAAACTTCACAAAAATCAATTCAATAAAAAATGCATTTATAAAATTCAACGAATTAGAATTTAATTTCTTTCACTAACCTCTACTTGCGGAACCTTTGTTAGGTGAGACATTTTCATCTGTAAAATAAAAGAAGATGAGGAGAGTTGAAAAGGACGATGGGTGAAAAGCGGAAGGATGCCACTAAAGTACACTCAGCATGATTATTGGTTATGAGACGTTGACTATGCATTTTCAGTAGCAAATTATTAGTTTGGAAAACAGTTTATGACGAGTGAATTAAAAATAACTATTTGTCAAAATGATACGAAACCATGAGTATCCAAGCAACAGTGTATCAAAGATGAATGGTAACACTATAATATATATTCGTTAGTCAGCTCAGGCAAATGGCAATCCAGAAGCCTGGACAAATATGATTATTTAGACAAAAGTGTGGACTGTTAAAGATGGAAGTATCGAACAAGCGGAGAAAACAATGATTTCAATCAATGTTTACGGATTCCACAGCCGCTGGGTAGCAGCAGTAACTGGAAATTCAGAGAACAATAAATACTCATGTGTGTTATGAATCTGATGTTGCGAGATGTCACAAATACAATGTACATGTACATGTGATGATTGCGTGAAGAAGAGATTTAAGCGAATCTAAGCGGTATTTCTTTTCTATTTCTGTCGTGAATCTCTTCAATCAAGACACCATGTATGTTTGAAGTTCAGTTGTATGTTGTGCGAAACTAGTGTGGAAATCGCCTCTTACTTCAACGTTTACAACAAATGTGATCGATTGAACGAAATGATACTGCGAAATCTCAGAATATGAACGCGTTAGTTGAATAACAATATCGGAAATCGGTTACTGTTCTGGACGAAGGATCACAGAAATTGAATGAGCAGATCATGAAATCGATTATTATTATTATTATTATTATTGTTATTATTGCATACGCAATGAAAAAGCCGATAGTTCGGATAAGTGTATTTCACTGACAAGCACCTTTCAGTTTATCGCAATGAGCATTGACAAATTTGGCTACAGTTGAATTATTATTGATAAACCAGCAGAGATTTCACTTAGATCCAGCTGACCTGTCACAATATTCTATACTACGCATTTCGTACATTTACAATGATTTTCAGTCAGTCACTTGTTGTGTTCTGGCAAACCACCTACCATGTCATTGATTGATGAGATCCGATATCGAACTCTCACAGACATGCCTATCGATTTGTCAACATTTCTGCTTCACAAATTCATCAGGCGTACACCTTCGTTTTATGCATCATTGTATCTGAAGCCAGTGGCACAACAATTTTCGTTGTTTACTGTTCGCTGAACGTTCAGCTATGGCAGATAGAACGCAGCTTTGGAAAATGAAACTAGTGATTGCAATGACATCACTTTCTACACTGGTTTCATTCATTCGGTTTGATTGATGAGAAGAGTACAGAGTAGACTTTCGAACATAACTCATTCACTCATTGAAATATGTTTCTCCTGAAATTAGCTGTGGATAAACCATCACAGACTGGTAATGATGGAAAACCAGAGGAAGAATCGAAGAAAGATATTTTGCCTCGAGACGGCAAAGAAGTGACCAAACCCACTGAACCAGGTGAGTGAATTCTTTGTGATAACATTTCGTTTGATCGTTTATTCACACATTGATTGACATTCTTCTTCTGAATGTACATTCGCATGAACGTGTACGTGCTTCGGTGTGAAGTAGGTGATTGCGATTCCGTTTTCCGCAATCAGACGTGTTACGAACAGTGAGATGGAGAATGGATTTTCATCAGTCTCACTGTGCAAATAACTGAACGTCATACGCACACTGTGTTCTGGCAAACCACCTACCATGTCATTGATTGATGAGATCCGATATCGAACTCTCACAGACATGCCTATCCGATTTGTCAACATTTCTGCTTCACAAATTCATCAGGCGTACACCTTCGTTTTATGCATCATTGTATCTGAAGCCAGTGGCACAACAATTTTCGTTGTTTACTGTTCGCTGAACGTTCAGCTATGGCAGATAGAACGCAGCTTTGGAAAATGAAACTAGTGATTGCAATGACATCACTTTCTACACTGGTTTCATTCATTCGGTTTGATTGATGAGAAGAGTACAGAGTAGACTTTCGAACATAACTCATTCACTCATTGAAATATGTTTCTCCTGAAATTAGCTGTGGATAAACCATCACAGACTGATAATGCTGGAAAACCAGAGGAAGAATCGAAGAAAGATATTTTGCCTCGAGACGGCAAAGAAGTGACCAAACCCACTGAACCAGGTGAGTGAATTCTTTGTGATAACATTTCGTTTGATCGTTTATTCACACATTGATTGACATTCTTCTTCTGAATGTACATTCGCATGAACGTGTACGTGCTTCGGTGTGAAGTAGGTGATTGCGATTCCGTTTTCCGCAATCAGACGTGTTACGAACAGTGAGATGGAGAATGGATTTTCATCAGTCTCACTGTGCAAATAACTGAACGTCATACGCACACTGTGTTCTGGCAAACCACCTACCATGTCATTGATTGATGAGATCCGATATCGAACTCTCACAGACATGCCTATCAGATTTGTCAACATTTCTGCTTCACAAATTCATCAGGCGTACACCTTCGTTTTATGCATCATTGTATCTGAAGCCAGTGGCACAACAATTTTCGTTGTTTACTGTTCGCTGAACGTTCAGCTATGGCAGATAGAACGCAGCTTTGGAAAATGAAACTAGTGATTGCAATGACATCACTTTCTACACTCTTTTTTTTATTGGTTTGTCTATTTTCGATTTGCTTACTTCGATGTTTTCCGACGTTTTCTCTCTAATTTATTATATTATTATTATTTTTTCAGTCTTTGTCGAGGAATCTCCGCGCAATTCTTTCAACGTTCATCTATTCGGAAATCCTATCGACGAAGGCATTATCTCTGCACCATGTGTGTTGTAATGTTTTATCTTATATGTTTTTTTTCTTTTTTTCTACTTAGTCATGCTGATAAAATAAATGGTTACTTTTTTTCCCACGTTTCATTTTGTTTTGAATGTTAATGATGTCGTTTTTTGAGTTCGATATTTTCGCCCTTAGCAGTGTTTTCGTTTCAAATGTCTTTGAATTTTGATGCATCTACTATTTTGTTTCTGTTTTTCTCAGATGATTCTTTTTTTTCTTACTATTGTCAGTGTTGCGATGCATCACCTAATTATTTCGTAGTGTTATGCAGTAACAGATGTCGTAATCACCTTATTAGTATTGAATCGTGATTTTTTTTTAATTTTCGCGCTTTCTGCATATGACACGCAAACGTGGATATCTGTGATTAATATAAGCTTTTCAGCAGTTATGCAAAATTATAAAAAAATTCATTTCTCAGTGTGTCTACCCACTGTTTATTCACTCACTTTACTAATGGTCACTTAATATTTGTATTCGTTCACCATCACTTCCTCATTTACAGTCTCCTTTCAATCTCAAGTTCTATTTTTTGATTAAACATTGACTTGTTTGTTTCTACAATACTCTTAGTTTGAATAGTTCATTCATTTCTCCATACACACTCTCGCAACCACATGTTCAAACGCATATAATTGATATCTTTATTATTTAGTATTTCCTTTTTAACACTCAGTGAAAAATAGCAGTTTTATCTTAAGGAGACGGACTATAAAATAACTCTATCCCAGACAAAATTATATTAGTATCTGATATTTCGCTTTTATTTTTAAAACATGATGTGTTCCTTGTGGAACTAAACAGTTAAATTGTAACGGAAAATTTCTGCGATACTTTACAAAAGTGATATTTCTCTGTATCAACATACATCCTCACTTTGTTCAATAATAATTGAGGAGTCAAATGCACGTTTCACATGTGGATTACATTTAGGCATAATTAAAGATTGCCTCATCTTGAGAATGAAACTTCTACTCAAACCTTAATAATCAAGGTTTACCAGTCCATAAAATGATAATTTTTTTTACGGTAACTATCTCAATACAAATCAGTATGATGATGATGATGATGATGATGATGATGTCAAATTGCCTTTTGATAAACTTGTACTAGTTAGTCACTGTGAATGATCTGTAGGAAGGAATCAATTAGAAACAATTCTTACTTATTTGATGAATGCTTTGGTGCAAAACTGAAATCTCATACATTCATTATTTTTGTTGTTTTTACTGTTGAAGCATTCAATTTACCGGCATGGTGTAAGTTATAAATATTTTTTTTAATGCATGAATTCACAAGTTCATCTTCTATTATGACATAAACTATATTCATAACTATTCAAAAAACCTGTAACAATTTGATTAGATATGGATTTTTGTTTTATTTTTAATCAAGTGCAAAACGAAATACGCTATAAGGAATGCTTTCAAATACGTAAGAATAACAAAACATTTAATTATTTTTATTTCTATTCATTTGGTCGTCACATAAGTCTGCCTAGTTAAAATAATGTTGTAATTGGGGTAAAATTAAAAATTAAAAAAAAAAGAGTTAGAAATACCATTGCAGAAATAAAATAATCCAATATAGTTCATAAATGTTTATGACTGTGTAGTGGAACGCTTCTATGAAAGAAAAAAGATGATTTGTGAAAAAAAATAAACATTATTGTACTCGTTTTGTTCAACTGTACCAGAAATACTTCTACTACTTTTTGCGCGCAACATTCTCTTCGCGTTGCTGTTATTTTTTTTCTATTTTCTGCTCCCCATGTAATGCTAACCTTTCTCCTTCAATTGAAAAACCTTGGATTATGGATTTAATTTTTATATTCGTGAAGCTACCACCATATGGAACATTTAGTAGTGAGCATAGTCAATTAGGTATCTTGACTTGCTAACAATAACTGTGAAGATAGCTTAAAACAGAAATTAAAGTCAAAATATTCAAAGTTTTAAATATATATATATATATGTTTTTCATGGTATTAGATTTGGATGAAAAAGCTAAGCAAGCGCGTGAAACAAACAAAAAAAAGAACAGAGAAGATATTGAGACTGAAAAAATGAACGATCGCGACATATCCTTTGAACCAGGTCAGTGAATTCTTTATGGTAATATTTCGTTTGATCGTTTATTCACACATTGATTGACATTCTTCTTCTGAATGTACATTCGCATGAACGTGTACGTGCTTCGGTGTGAAGTAGGTGATTGCGATTCCGTTTTCCGCAATCAAACGTGTTACGAACAGTGAGATGGAGAATGGATTTTCACCAGTCTACTTGCTCTGTGATTAGCCGAACACAACAGACGCATACTGTTTTGTTTTTTTTTGGATGACGTCCATGGATGTCCGTGCTTCTTCTAATCCATTCGTTTGGTGTGCACATCATGTTTGTATGCATTTAAATGTTAATCTGACATTGTTAAACTGTTTAATTTACTTATGAGTTGTTGTGGTTTAATTTACTTTTTTGCAGTTATTTCTTCTATACATATTCTTTTATGTTTTTTTGCGATTGAATGATTTTTATTATTACGATCTATATGTTACAGTCAGTATGGTTCCTTAAATTGCAACCGTTTTATTTACGTATGTATCAAAAATTGAATACTATATTTTAATATAGTATGGAAATTATTTACAGACTTAATAACTGAACAATTGTTCTGTTTACATATTCTTCTTCTAGATATCTGACGAGGTTTGTTCTTAAATATCATATACGTAAACTAACGAGAAATTTTTAGAAAATTTATAGTTCAATCATACTTGATTTACATTTCATTATCTTTAACGAATGTATTATTATTGTTGTCAGTAATATTGTTATCAATAGCAATTAAATAATCAAAACTTCATGATTTATTACTTTTTGTCATCTTCTTTGATATAAACGTTTTATTCGTACATTGCTTCCATTTTAGGCGAAGCATAATACATAATCTGAAAATACACAACAACAGAATTCAGCGTTTTCATTGTTGATATGATTTATTGTTTTATCATAATTATAACTTATTAAATGCAAAATATATGTGCATTCTGGAATAATAGTTATCAGCTTGTTTTACTGAACTGTTTTATGACTAATAACATCGTAATTCCCAGTAAGCATTACAATTATTCATGATTTTGCGGTCTGTCAATGCCTGTTGGCCAAATTTATGAAGAATGAACAAAACGTTTAAAAATAATTATAAAATCCAGCGGCCTAATGAACATGAAAACATATATATGGGAAAACTTTTGACGATCAATCAAAGACATTTGTAACAGGATAATAAGTCAATCTTTTAACTACTTTTCATATTGCATCTACGTGATATAATAACCGTCATTCTGAAAGACGTCTACAAATCAAGTTTCTCTTTGATAGACTGATAGGTTGAAATCATGAAACACGTGTACACATTTTACAGTATTCATGTTTATAATTGAACTTGATAAAGGTTTTAATAGAATGGATGAAATCCAATCAAAATATATTCAAAATCATAAAGATCTTTCTCTCATTCGCTCATTCTTTTCAACATCGATAAATTCATTATATTAATGATAAATGATAATATATCTATTGGAAGATTAAAACACAAGATTTTGCAAATTTAGGGATCCCATTATCTAGATTCATTCTGGTTAAGAGTTTCATTATGACTTCAACTTGCATTTGATATCGAACGAATAATAATCACAGTTTTAATGAATGAAAAATAGTGGCATTTTGAAATTACTCCAAAATAATTATGAGCTATAATCGAAATTCGTTATTAAAATGTTTATTAACTTTGATCAACATCTTTTCAACTGACTGTTCAGACGACAATTGACTATGAAACTGTCAGCTTGTGAGATTGCCGACTTGATTGGTCGTTGAACAGCGAACATTGTCGGACTCATCTAATCCCGTGTCACGGACTGCAGTCTACCGATTATTTTGTAGAGATCTGTTACTACTAGTTTCATTGCTTAACATTTATTTCTCAGAATATACGGTTGATCGAACGGCGATTAAAACTGTAGAAGTCTCCTTAGATCTAAGCAAAAAACATACGGTACAAACTTTAGCTCAGTGATTTCTTGTATAATATACGCGAGCACAAATATTCAAGCATTCTCCACACAACATCAACAAGCGGTCTGGCTCAGACAGAAAGAAAAATTGAGTAAGAACTTTTACGTCAGAAGAAGAGAATATTGTAATCAAGTTGTGGATGACAGGATTATGTCGCACGAGTCTACATCTGCCTCACGTACAGCAGATATTATTCCTCTAGAGGACTGGATAATTATGACATCTAAAACTTTAGATCTACGCAAGAGAGAAATTATAAGGTTTGATGATAATCCTGTGAACTATTGAAGTTTCAAATGGAATTTCGAAGACTGTTTCAATGAAAGTGTTGGATTTCGATCCAAGTTAAAGTATTTAAATTCAGTAATGTGATGTTGAAGCTAAGACTACTATTGTTTATTGCGGATTGCTCGAACCAGAAGAAGGCTATCGTAAAGCTTTAGGGCTTCTTGAAGAAACAGTCGATCAAAAACACATGGTAGCTGATACATTTGTCAGTAAGATGCTGGACGTCCCTGCTATTCAGGGGACAGACCAAGATTATTCAAGAAGGCTGGCTCGTGAGACGCATGTTTGTGAGGTAACGCTCGAGATACATGTTTTTAAAACTCCCGCTATACCTACTAAGGGAATGAATTAAAGCAGCTTTTCAAATTCTCAAGGCGAGTAGGAAGCCTTTGTTTAAGGACCTAGATACGTCCTACTTGTCAGCCGCGGCAATAATAGTGAAAAAAGGAATTTCGGTGCCTTGAAGGGGAAAACTAGTACAAGTTTCAACACAGAAGGGGTAGAACATGCATGCAACAATAATGGCAATGCCTCCTCATGTAGTTTACTCTGTCTGGATAGCTCAAGCAGTCATTCTTTAGATCAGTGCCAGAAGTTTAAAGACAAAAATGTAAGAGAAAGGAAAGAATTCGTCTTTAAGCACAATTTTTGTTGCGTTTGTCCAAAGGCAAACTATGTAGCAAAAAATTTGCCGATCATCAAGGTCATGTGCTGTTGAAGGGTGTGGCTGGAGACACCATTCCCTGTAACATGAGGAGCGGGAAAAATGGAGAGATACGAACAGTGATGCTGTTATTAATACTCAGGTTCGCACGTAGGAAGGCGTTAAGTGCTTACAGAGGCCAGTGGCATTTTCAGTAGTTCCCGTATGGATAAAAATGGTTAGAGAATTATTCAGACTTGCGCATTTCTAGATAGCGGACCAGACACCTCTCTTATAGTTGAGGATCCATCTGATAAGTTAGGCCTCGAAGGAAAACCAAAAATGGTATCTTTGAATACTCTTAGTATTGAGTCGTCGGTAATATCCAAAGAGGCTGATGTAGAACTGCACTCGATAGAATTTTCGTCATCCGTTAAGATCCTGAAAGTGTTGAGGACTATATTGGTTCGGACGCTGTTCGGCCCATACGGAGAACCCCCGTGAAAGTGAATGCGTACTTAATTATCTGTCGGCTGAGAAAGAAATTTCGTCTGGTTATGTTCTCAGATCAAATATTTCATCACGCATTGTGATGGACATTAACATCTACAAGTCATGATTCTGCCTCAAGTGTTTTACTACATTGGCTAAAGTTGTTACAGCATCTCAAGCAGACTGTAAGGATTCGAAAAATCTAGGAGATTCTGCTTAAAGAAGTAGCTGTAGATAAACGGAAAGGAACGTTAACTTTAGCGGAGTATGACGTAATTAATGGTGAAGAACGGGAAATACCAATCATTCGACAGCACTGTCGAGCTCATATTTTCAATGCTAATAAACAGAAGTGGAATAAGTTAAATGATAAGCCCAACAACAGTTCTGAAGTGAATAAAAAATCTCCTTGCAGGTCACAGTTAGTAGAGCAATTATTGTCTACACACAGACTGTTGTTTAGTACTCCCACTAGGTTGCAAACACCCCCTGCTCTAATTGACTCCCGAACTTTGAGGATTTGTCCTGGCGATAGATTGGAATGCAAGAACAGACGAATCGTATTTCACAGTTCATGAGTGCCCTGGAAACCTAACCAGGAGAAATATTTAGTCGTACTCAGCACTCATATTTGATCCTGGAGGCGGTAAATGGGAACACATCACAAAGCTAAAAAGAAGGAATCCACAAGCGGGAGACTTAATGTTTGTAAACAATACTGGCTCACCGAGAAATCTGGGGCCGAAAGCGATAGTTAGACTGGTCAATTGTGGTCCAGATGGCCGATTCAGAACATTTTGAATGAAGACAGAACCCAAAGAGATCAGCCGAGATATACGGAAACCTATGCCAAATGGAAGAGGCCGATTATTTGTGTGTCGCGGTAACAGGGCCTAGACGAGGTGACTGCCTGGGGGGCATGTTAGTTATTTTCATGACTAATTGTAGTTGTGCTATAACTAACCAATCAAGTCGTAGTTTAGGCGTTCACCACGTGATCTGGATGACGTGCACGTTAACCATCGTTTTTGCAAATAACTTACTAATTGATGGACATTATTATCTTATTATATTGATGTGACTCATAACTTCATTCATTTCCATAAGACACGCTACATTGGTCGGTATGTTTGCTCGTTTCACTTGGTAACTGTAATTTCCTTATTTTCTGTACTAAGCTATTTGTTTTTATGTTAAGAAACAACTAAAGTTTGAAACCGAATTGGTATTGTTTTGACTACAGCTTTCCCACGGACTCTGTGCTCGCCAATATAGCGTTCACAGTTCCAGAAGTACATCTGTAGGACAAATTAAATCCTACATACTGCACACTAAATTCATACTATGTTTGATATATTAGGTTCCCGTGGGAATGTATCACGTGTTGAATGTTGTCGCGAAAATGTAGACGAAATAAACTGTTTCAAATTGACCGACACAAAGTATTAGTGACGTTGATGACCGGATTGAAGATGAAACACACAAACGTATTGCATTTCAGCATGAGCACAGGTAAAACAATTTAACCTGTTGACACACATTGAAATCGTTGTTAGTCTGTAGGAAATCATTGTCGAGAAAGCAATGTATTTTCAGCTCATTCCATGATCAAGACAACTCTCTTATCCACGAACTTGAACATTCACTACGAGGTGCTGCATCAATGATATAAATGCAATGCTTGTCAAGAAGTACGGTAGTTCTAGGTCTGATTAAGTGTGAGGTTATATGTGTTCACAGTTCATGAATATAATAATAATAATATTTATTCTCAAATAACACTATGTAACAGGAAGCATGCCAGTTTTTTAGGCTAGAATAAATTGTCACAAATGCTAACACATTTACTGCAAAAGTTATCGCAGTCAAATTAAGTATAAGAGGCAATTTCTGATAGCACATTTACACCATGTCACTGACAGGAGCAGTTTGATACATCCACATTTTTAAAAGAAGAGTACAAATAGGATAGGTGAACGGTAGGTTTCTCGGGCGGTTCGCCTAGACCAGTTGTGAATTTGTTGGGAGAGATCAATTGGAAAGCGCTCTATATATAACTTGTCTGAAAACCCGACTAAGGCTGATGCTGCAAATGTGCACCAGGTTCAGAGACAAACCACCAAGTGCCTCTATAGCAGCGTAAGAGGACTAAGGGGTAAGCTGTTAGAAGTCAGGAATATGCGCTCTCAGATGGATCTGAAG